GTTATGATAGGTGCGACCGGAGAAGAAGGGGACGAACGCCATCAGACGCGACAGAGACGCATGGACGCAGTCTCCAGCTACGTTATTATTCAATATTTACTGCGCCTCTTCCGCTGCTGAAGGGGAAGTCGAGCCCCATGGCCGTTCTGTGCGGCGAACGGCCGCATTGTTGAAAAGCTCAGATGCCATATCAATAAGACATCGCCGCGAGCCATACCATCACAAGTGGACGAATAATTATACGCGCCGGGAAAGTGATATCAACTTGGACTACTGCGAAACCGTGCGGCAATAAAACAAATTCTTTTTCTTTGTATTTTAATTAATCGATCTCCCATGGCTGTTTAGTTTCATTTCTAATGACCGCTGGGCACCGCTGTGGGCCGGCAGCGCGCATTGCGCAACCCATCGGGAAGGGAAGGGGAAGTCACAGCCGCTGCAGCCGCGGGTGCATCTGCCCGCTTGTGTCCGGACCTCAAGACTAAACTAAACAAGACAAAAACAGGGGCAGTTTTTATTTCCTATTTGCGACGCCACACGTGAGAAGCCTCTGGCGCGGTGGGAGAATATGTATAGTTGCGAAAAGGCCATACGATGATAGAGAGAGGGAGGGAGGGAGAAAGAGAATTTATTTTTAACAGCACAGCAGAGAGGATTTTATTTCGTTTCTTAAAATCACCCTGTTCATCTCCTCACACTCTGCAGCGGCTGTCCGATCAGGCACCCGTTAACCCCCTAAACAACCAGAACGGCTACTCCCGGCCGCCGCTAAGGCAACGCACAGCGGGCCGTAAGCCATCGATAGGCCGCCAGGTAAACGAGAGTGGCATGTTGTTCTGCCGGGGCTTTATGCTGGGCGTTAAACGCCTTTAACGGCCGCCTGTGTGTTGTACCGGGTGGGTGCACGGTGTATACCCCCACAGGGGCCGCGCGAATGAGGATATATACAAGAGCATCAATAAAAGAAATGTGACGAAAACGCTTCAGAAACGGCTGCTTGGGTCAGACCAAAGAGAGCAACGTCATGACGGCAATGAACGACACGGACACAAACACATACCCTCGGGTATATACCCCCCCGAGCAACAAACAAACGCGTCGTTATGGCACAAGAAATAATAAAAGAAATAACCTATATCCCACGCGCCGGTCAGGCGTTGCCGGGCGGGGTGATGTCGTGCCGAGTGAGTTCCTTTAGCTTGTGAGGCGCCGTAAGGTAGGCAACCCGATGGAGCACTCGACGCACAAGTTGGGCGGGACGGCCTACCTCCCAGGGGCTCCCAGAGCCGCGCCGAACGAACGCACCTGTGGTCGAACTAAAGGGGGGGGGGAGAGAGAGAGAGAGAGAGAGAGAGAGAGAGAGAGAGAGAGAGATGGAGAGAGATCCGTCCGAATAAAGAGCAGCGGCGAGCTTTTCCACGCGACGTTGCCTGCGTTGACCCCGCCGCCGGGAGGACCAGTGCTGGTTTGGACGGCTTCCTTCTTCTCCCTACGCAACAAACGGACGGGAGGTTCCAGGGCCTCCTGCACACTCTATGAGAGTGAGGAGGGAGCGTTGTGTTGCCCAACTCGGGCACGTCCAGCGCGCCGGGCCGAGCCACAGGGGCACAAGGGGGCACACTCGCCGGCCGAATTTAAATAACGAGATCTCGAGATCTGCATCGCACACTCGCTCGCCTCATCGACCGCATCGCAGAGTGCACCGGGAAGCGAGGGGATACACACTCTCACAAGGAGATTCTGTTTGTTTCGAATTTGTGTGACGGACTACGAAAAGTATTTTGGCAGAGTCGATTAGGGGAGCAGAACGACCGGCGGCTGACTGCACATCGGCGGCACGCGGAGAAATCGCAAACGTGCGAAACCTTGCGGTCTGGTCTGCCAGGACGGACGTGTGCGCGATGCGGGGCAGGCACACCACACTGAGGTGATCGATTATTACTTTATATTATTTTTGCAATAATAACTTCTTTTCTCTTCCTTCGTACATCTTTTGGGGCATAGTTCTTTCTTTTTGTGTGAGCACAGCGCATTGGTGAGGGCGAGAGGCGTAGACGGGCAACGCGACGATGATGAGAAGAGAGATATACTTCAGGACAACAAAAACTTAACGAGGAGTACGGAAGCGATTTTGCAGAAAAATGCCTGCCCAGCTATAAGTGGAAGGCTTATACTTTGTTACCAGCTTGTGTGTGTGCGGCTCGGGGATGCTGTAATTTGAGAGGTAAGGAGAGGGGAGGGGGGTTTGCTTTGCCAGAGAGGAGTGGCAGCTGCGGCCGCACTGCGCGGCGCCTAGTTATCTCAGGAAAAAGCGCACGC